TGTAATCACCTCGCTGATTTTAAGCAGCGCCTCAGTAATCTTTGCCTAAGCTGCCAAGCTGACGGGTCCCCAAATTCTGCCCGGTTCTTTATCGAAGTTGTCACTTCTAGACTTTAGCGGACCGACGTCTAACCACAAATCACTGATGACATGGTAGGCCATTTTTCTTCTATTGGCAGGACACTTTCACGCCGACATGAGACCGTCATAGGGTACAGTAACGTTTTCTCTGCAATTGGAACTTTTCACGCTCGAACCCAACCACGCCCTCGTGGTCACTCACATGACATATTTGGAGAAGTCGTTTCGCGAGTGCTACTGATTCCATTACTGCTGCAATTTCGGCGGCCAAGGAGATCGGCGCACCCTCACCCGCCCGGCAGCATTCGGATATTGATGTATGAATTTAGTTCTTTCTGCTTTCAGCATCCGCATTTATACAACGCATAAGGGTGATTCAATTATTACGTAATACCTATGGAAAACAGGAGATGGCGCTAGAATCAGGACGATTCTTGAAGAAATGAATTAAGTGTTGTATCACTGATTTTCCGTACAGCCTGTTCTTGCTTTGGGATGATATTCCTTCATGTAGCGGAACTCCGACAACCTGTTGACGGACTCGAACAACCTGTTGTTAATTTATATAACGAGAGTGGGTGGCATTTTGAAATCTCTGTTCGGCGAAGGTTACGGAAATGTCATACATAAATCGCCGCAATAGTCTTGGCCAGGAAACCATATTGCAGTCCTCCAGATTTAGAGACTGCCATGCTACATCATCACAGAAGAGCAAAATCACGACCTTTTATGGATCAAGAATAGCCCGGAGAATCATAAATATAATTGGCACTACACAGCACCTTGTATATCGCCAGCACAAATCAAAAGAGGATCCAAACAAGGGTAAACAGCAAAGGTAAAAGCTGCTTTTCGACACATTGTTGACGAAGTACACCATGTGGTCAAGCCGTATGACCTTGCCGTTAACGACCAAAAGAAGTTATTCACATCTTTAACGCAGGTGACCGGCAACTGGATTAGACCAGTTTATGCTCACAGTTGACGAGCTCGTGGTCAGTAAGCGGCATACGCGCTAGCAAAGGAAAGTTTCCGGCATCAGGCAGTTTGCTTTAATTCGCAATTGGGAATGCAGCAAGAAATCAATCTATTTCTCATCTAACAATTTAATAACAGCGCGATCTAAGAGCCAAATGCGACAACGCTGAGAGAGGAAAAAAATGATACATTTTCCATGTGAATTCCATTAAAACAAGAACGACGAAGGCCGCTCACCTTTTCCATACTGACGTTTGACTGGTCGTCTGTGAAACATTTCAGCCTGTAAAGTGAGGTGCTGCATAGGCCTACCTATAACAGATGTATTCGCCCTCCCAGTATATCGATATAATATATCTGGTTAGTCAACGGTCCGCAATCGACACCGGGTACATGACGACTAGGACATAGGTCTACAGAATTATGAACTGAAAATGCGTCAAAATACAGAACAAACATACGAATGCAGTATTCAGTATTAATAAATTTTTGACGCATTTTACTGTGCAGCAAGTAATTACCTTTGTCATAAAATATATGCTTAACCGTTCGTTCAATCTATTCACAAAATCTAAACCTGAATATTCTTTTGTAAAAGAATACCCTGCAGTAAGAGATGCTCAGTGACGTTGCTCTGAATCTGACTAGTTTCTGTAATAACGATTACTAGCGAAGGGCGAAAAGTAGTTTATGGCAGACAAACAGGTTTAACCAGAAAGTGTCTCGCAGGAAATTCTTACTATCGAATATCTGCAATTAATAATGGCAGCCAACGCAAATAGACTTAGGAAAGCAAAACGAGACTTGAAATGGCGGAAGCCTCGTTTAACAGGACAAAATAGTTATAACATAACCATGCCGTTTATGTTAAATAATTTTGCTTTATTTATTTACTGCTGAACAGACATTTTTCTGTTACACTGCAACATATTCGTGCATCCATAGCTTCAGATGTGTGAAAACACAAATTACACTGCTCATATCACGAAAATTCACGAACTTCACTTAGCGGTAAACATGAGACTTTTGTTGCGATACATATGGTGCCTGCAGACACGCTGGAATAAACGACAGATAACACACTTTAAAAAATTTTATTTTTTTAAATCTGTGCCACATATCTCCATCCGATTTTGTACACATGCAAAAAGTAGACAAG